TCTGGAGATGCTGAGTATTCGCTGACACCGTTCTTGATGGTGGCATCGAATGGATAATTAGCGACCAGATCGCCTTCGTGAAGATTCGCGGACAGAACAAATGGCAGCGATAGACTCCATCGGCCGACAGCTACTGTTTCGGGTTGGCGCTGAAATGTGAAGTCGTTCAATAGGCACTGCATCAATAATGAACGGATTTAACCATCTTCTCGAGTTTTTTTATGGTTAGAGCAAATAAACGACTCAAAGGCAATGAATACGATGGCTGAAGTGCGGAGAGATTTTGCTGACGCCATAAAGCGTGATTGGTAGAAGGGCACTGGGCCCTCAGCACGCTGAAGGGCCTGATCGACCTATGATGTCTAAGACGTCATCCAAACCGCTCCAACCCTCCAACTATCGTGTTCACTCCCTTTAACTTGGCCTGGTTAGTCAACTATTCCATGTTGAAAAAGTTGAGAATGTGATCATTCAAAGTGGCTTATTCAACAAGCTCATTCAATTACTTAAGTAGTTTGTAAAGAAGCTGCTAATGATTTGCAGAAATGAATATCATATAAAACGAGTGATTAATAAGGATTAATCATTCATTTACTGGGTCATCCACAAAAACGCACCTCCTTATCGTCGTCGAACAACTCCATCAAGTGGTCGTATCGTGGTACCTTCATCTTCTCCAGCTCGTAGAAGATGCTGTCAAGATCAGGGAAGTCTCTGAAAAGGCTCTTGATAAGCTGTTAGTACAAGAACAAAACTGGAAAAAATGGATGACGCAAGAAGGAAATTATAGATGTTTGCTGAAAATCCGATGCAAGTATTTTTCCACTGCTTTTAGTAGCTTTGAGCAGTTTAGTCAGCACCATAAAAAGGCTAGGGTTGCTACAAAGCTCCTCGCTAGCTCTTTACACTTGTAATATAGGCAGGGCTGATGATCTTAGAATGGATAAGAGTCTTTTTAACAATGTTCAAGGAAAAGCAAAGGTGGACTCGCCAAGAACCGGATCTCACGACCTCTTGCCCGTCGGCCTGGGCCGCTGCCACTGCACTATCTCGCTTCATAACTACGTTCAGAGAAATCATTTCACAGCCAGCTGAAACTATGTTGCATTGTGAGTATATTCTTTTTAAGCTTTACCGACAAATACTGAGTGCTATACACAAAACCCTCATGAGATTTTATCGAAAAAAGATATTTGAAGAAGAACGCACGACCTCTGGCTTACCTTCTACTCAAACCATCCTTTCTAGAGCTCTAGGTAATCATCAATTATGAACGTTTTTGAAAAATGTACACCTCAACCCGATTGTTAGCAAAAGTTGTTTGTTCAGGGTGTTCCGGTTATGACGGTCTTTCTATTTATTTCCTTTCGTTTTTCGAATATGTTACTGCTTCATATTTCGTTTTGGTTTTTGACATACTGGCTATAATATTTTATTTTTGGCTTGACAAAACTGCCGCTAATAATTTAATAATAATACAATTTGTTAATACAAAAAATTAGTAGCAGTATTGTATGTAAGAATTTTTTTCTATTTTTTTCGAACTTTGTTCCATTGATCTTCAGAACTTCAAGTGGCAATAACGCCTTCAAAATGAAGCTAAACTGCCTGAATCACGAGCCCCAAATTACTGAAATTAGAGAGTAATAGAAAATAATAAATAATATACTTCAAACTCAATTTCAATTCTTTGGTTCATCCTTTGTGTACACATATGTACATTCCTGAAATAAATAAACGAACAAATAAAGCAATTAATATAATACTATATAATGCAGTACTTACAACACACTACAAATGGTTCATTGTAGTCGCTATTACCACTTCTTTGATATCTTCGAGCTTTTCCCAATCGTTCTTTGCATTCATTCTCTACACCATGTGTTGTCGACTTTAACCTTTTCTTGATTTGGCTCGCTCCTTTCACGTTTCGGGTTCGTTGATAGATCGATCAGTATTTCAATGGAATATGTGTACCGTTCCCCTTAATCGAATAACGGGTATAATTAGCCGGCCAAATAACGTTCCCACATGCATGCGGATAAAATCTTGTATCCAATTCTACCCATATCAACCAGTCCTTACGTCCCCAAATTATCTATCCCATTCGATGATTGGTATGAAACTTGTGTCCTGAAGAATAAAAACTATACTAACTAACTAACTAACTAATAACTAATATAGCTAACTATAAGTCTGTTATCCCGTGCAAATCGTTGCATAAACGGAGCCGAACTTGAAAAGATTTAACGATTACGAATGGAGGTTTAACTAGATGCATTCCAGAGAGAATTTAACCAATACCAGGCTCTGGCCACTCATAGAGACCTCCCATTGGAATAGCCCCCTTCTTTCAGTTGGCACCATGACATTTCTCTTTCCAACTGCTCTCACAGCTCTCAGCTTCGATATATGCAATTAGTCGCCTCAGACGCTTCGCAAAAACCATATGTTATTAAAATTCGTCATCCACATCCGTTTCGTTAGACGTCTTGAGGGAAAATTGTAGTCGTTAATCAGCCAGAATGTGACCTGTGACGAACATTGCATGGGTGACTTTTCCTAGATAATGAACTCAGAAAAAGTCGTTATGTAGTAAAAAAAAAAGTGAAAAATGAAAAAAAATCGAAAAATTAAAAAGAATTAAAATTGAAAAAGTGCGTATAATAATATTGGAATCTAAAATCAATTTTCGCGGGCTGTCATTTAACAAATACAAAATACGATTACATATAAAATCAATAATTTTATTTATAGTAGCTAGACAAAGCCCTAAGTATGTACACTTTCGTCAAGCCCCAGACGCTGTAGCAGAGCTGAGGCAGTGAGAAGGAAACGAGTCTCTCACACTTTGTATGAATATCAAAGCTGGGATCTGATCCCGTCATAACTAATCGCGAGCCTCTTATCTCTTAATTGATGCCAGACTTGGATGTCGAACGCTGATTGCACATCGCCTGCCAACTATTTCATGGATCTCGTATGAATTCAGTGCCACAAGAATCGAGAAAAGGCGAATGCATGTGGCTTGATCTTGATAGAAGGATTTACTTGCTTCATTATGGCCTAGGCTTTTTTCGGTCCCTGCTGACAAGCCATCTCTTCGAAGTTCTAGCCCTGTTAAGACAGCCGAGATTATTTCATGGCAAAGGATTACACTGATTTTGGCCAATGATTTCCTGTTTTAAATGCGATGTCGAACCAATGACTGTCTGCATTGCGCGTTCTGAAGAATCAGGCGCTATGAGCATGATATTTCGGTGCGTGATCTCGTCTCGGGATTATACTAATTATTCAGACGATCTGGGAATCGTTTATTTCATCGTGAAACCTGAGCTTTCCGTCAATTGGGAATTACTTCGGGTTCACAGCTAATACTTATTGCAAACGAATGTGACGTGAAGGAATTGCCGCAGAAGTCAACAACGTTGCCTGTTGATAGAAACGGCCAGAACACCTGACAAAGCCGAAGTAACCCGCTGAGGGGAAAAACACGAAAAAAAATACGATTATTGATTAATTTCGCTGCTACACTGCAAGAACTCAGCTACCACAAATCATTTCTTGATCTACGTGATAAAAGCTTCAGCGAAACTGAAGGTCCAGAAAAAGGAGCCTCCGTACTAGGACAGGGCCAAGTTTTTGTTCTTCGTTATCGCATAACTATGCACCTTGATGTGTCATCTTCTCATAGGTATTGGAATGACTTTTCTTAACAGGCCGTGATTGGAAGAAATAGCTTTTTCAAGATCTTCACCTTTTTTCTTTTTCTTCCTAGTAACTTTCTTTTTTGTGATGATGATGCTGTTCAGTGAAACCAGAAGTGAAGTACATCGGCAATATGCACGGCAACGAACCACTTGGGCGAGAATTACTGATCCGTCTAGCTGATTATACCTCTGTGACGCAGCTATCAAAAAAGATAAGGTACGTTTTTGAATTGTTAATTGCACGATCGTGATAGTACATATGCTTGCTATTATTACTCCAGCACAGAAAGCAGCGTTGCAGCGGAATCTTCCACGGAAAAAGCTCCGCCTCCATTACCACAGAAAACGATACCTTAGGCCCCTAGCCTCATGAGCATAGCAAAAAGAACGGAACATAAGCGTTAGTTTCGATAATACTAATCCTACACACAAGACAAAATGATCACTCTTTCCGTGGAAGATTCCTTTAAGGTATCGTTTTCTGTGGTAATGAGGGCGGAGCTTTTTCCGTGGAAGATTCCTTTAAGAGTAGCTGTGATTTTCGCAATGCTCGGTGAAAGGGTAATAAGCGCTACATTTTTTTTCATCCTACGCGCAGCACTCGCCTTTCCTGTCGCATACCTTACTGATTCTCTCCAGAGATCCAGTCCATCCATTCATTCACCATCGCGGAGCTCAGTTCTTGGTTCACGATCCTTATTCGTGGCTCTTACTTTTTTGTCGATTGAGGACCACCCTTTTTTAGGGAATTGTAAGGGAGCAAACATTGCCATGAACTCGATTCATGGGTGATCCCCTTCATATTTCCTTCGTACAACCCATGCAATTAGTTTCGGCATTCACGGAAATCCCAGAATGTTCTTTTGCCTTGAAAAACTGATGCAAGCTCTAATCCCTCAAACCCATGTCTGGCGGTTTGAAACAGAATAAGAGCCGAGGACATGGTAGCTGGAGGATGGAGTGGTTTTGATGACGTCGCTGTACGTCCGGTAGACCAGGCCCTGTTCGGGGGATGGGTGGAAGTGGAGGTTTTAAAACCACTCCCAACTTCCTCCCTCCAGACACTCTCAGTAAAGTCAACAAATCACTCCCCGCCCTTTCACGCATCAATGTGGCACTGCCTTTAAACTTGGCGCTTACACAGACCCTGACATGATTTTGGGCCTCTTTTTAGCTAGCGGCTTAAAGTGCTCTAAACAAAAAGTTGCTTTCTTGTTACCAGCATACTGCCCATAAGCAACTAACCCTTTCACCGATGGAAGTTTTGCACGCGATGAAAGCGGGATCGGTATTGGACTGCGACCACGTCCATAAATTAAATGAGGCTCATATTGGAAACCTACGCTGTCGAGCGATTCGGACCAGAATGAGAAAAAGCTTGCAAAGGGATTGGGCAATTTGCAAAGAAAAAAAAGTTAACATGCGGTCATGTAATTACTGGTCGCAGTGGAGGATGATTCGTGAGCACTTCGAAACCAAAGAAGCGTTTCTGACTAGTTGAAAGTTAAATATAGGCCATTTAGGGAGAAGATCACAGAGGGAGGCGGCCGGGCCAGGAGAAGAGCACTGATTAGAGGGCTAGTAACATTGCCTCCGATCTGGAAATTGCCCTCGTCTGAGTGGGCAGAATCTCTCACCTCTCTCTAGCTGCTCTCAGTCTCATTTGTGAAGGAGAAAATATTCCCGAACTTTATATATACCATACAGGATAGGTATGCAGAATGAATACGCATCAAACACCTCTGAAATTTTGCAACGTAATCGAATTCACGGTGCATCGCAGAATGAAAAGATAAATTACACGAAACTATCGCTTAAGAGCATTAAAATATCAAATCAGCTCCAATATGAAATTTCAGAAGTTTTTCATAAGGATTCCTCATTTATCAAATGCTTTTTTAATTTTTATTCATATTTATTTATTTATTTTTTAGGAGATCATTCCTCCAGGTTTAAGGAAT